TCACGAAATAAGCGATTTCGTTATGCGGATGCGATATAATATAATATATGTATTTTCAGGTATTTTCAAATAGCCGGATATTGTGGAATACACATTTATACCGACCTCGCTCTCAAAGCAAACATTCGTTTATTGATTAAAAACATAATATATTAGAATATCCGAATAACAGTTAATATTATAAAATACACGTGGGTATTATTAGATACACACAATTCATTTAATTATACATATTACGTGTACTCGTGTACACATGCACTTTAAATACCCGTAGGAAATCGTCAGCCCTACAGTCAAGACGTCGAATTTTACATGAACCGTTTTTCGTTCGTTTTGTACGATATATTTACCTCTCGGCAAATTCAGTGGCGTACAGCCCTATTGCATTTATTATAATGAATTCAATAAGTACTAACTTCATTATATAATAAACAGTGACCGTATACGCGTAGTGATTCCCGAGAATTTTACGGCAATTTCACTTGTAAATATTTTCGAGACATTCGAAACATAGTAATTTGTGACAACGCGCCTAATAAAATAATATTATGAACACAATATAACCATACAATGAAGGCTAAAAACTATAAAACACTCGTGCACGTGCAAATTTTACGTAAAAAGACCCTAGTATGTTTTCATTTATTGTTTGTTTTTGTTCATTTATGATATTTGCATAATAATATTATCATATCTACGCCATTACACAAAAATAAACGCAAATCCGGAAAATCATAAAAATTGTTATAATTAAATCGTGTTTTATTAAACGCCGAGTCGCATTAAACCGCCGTTTTTGGGATTAACGAAAATGTCACAATATAATATTATAATATATTTTACCGGTGACTAGTAACCGCCATAATTGTTACCACGTGATAATATATGACTGGGCATTTTTTTTTTCTGTATTTTTCTGTATATTTGAATTGAAATTGTTTCAGTAAAAGCGTAAAAACCAACTCCTCTCTTTCAAAATCGCAAAAACATTATCAAAACTTCTAAACATTTTACGCGAAAATATGCAGCCAAAAATGTGCGTAGGTACTTAAAATATTTTTATCATCCGATACGAATGCGCGTTACTCGCACCGGTGTGTATTGTGTTACTACTTTTGTAAATGAATAAACAAATACTTGAAATACTACTCGATTCACCCCAACTACAAACAGGGAACATGGAAGTATCATATTTTCTGAAAGGCCTGGCTTATTTTGATATTTTAACCCGCAGTGTTGGTATCTCGTGACTCTCGTGGGAGATATTTATTCAAAGGTTTTCGATAAAAGGGGGGAAAAAAGGGTATAAATAAAATTTGAAATGTAGGGGATCGGATCGAGTAGAAATGTAATACAAGGGTGACCAATTTAACAAATATTCAGGATGACGGGCTAGGAGAAGAAAAATGTTGATATGTTGAAACACTTGAATCTATGTAGTTTTCATTTTCTATTGTCGGAAGAATTGCCCAGTGAATTAGTACTTTGATGAATATCGATTTTAGTGCATTACAGTCATTGGCTTAGCCAGGGAGATAGTTGAGTGTTGTACTTCCCTCCAAGTGATAAATCCTGGTTACAATTAACAAAATTGAACGTCAAAATAATTTGTATTTCATATAAAATAACACCGTGGTGGTGTACAAAAAAAATCATAGAATAGGTATATAAGACACTATACAACATATAAGATTAAATTTAATTTCGAAATTTACCCGGGATAATTTTTTATCGCGTTGTTCGATTCTTCTGAATTCATAAACATACTAATATTGCACAGTTAGCTCCCGTGTGTATACTTGGCCACTTCGATTCCATTATTATTTCCAGTAGAATTTGAATCATCGTTAGTGCATCATTGCTACTGGACATGAGGGACATATTGTGCAAAATAAATATTACGATGTTCCTCGATTATGTTCATATCTGGATATGGGATTAACGGTTTCTGCTTGAAAAGCGCTACTTCACGCGCAAATGAAATACACGTGTTTTATTATAGCATAAATGTGCAAAAAGTATTAGAATCATACGATTCAACGGGAAACAATAATCACCATGCTACTCATTCAAGTGTTTCTTCCTGTTGACCAAAAATCGAAACTACTACGAGGAATTTAGTGGCCTGAGTAAGCATGAACCCAAAACCAAGTTGAAGAGGAATCACAACCATTTTAGATAAGGTCAAAGAAAAAACGCAAAAATGTACATATTATATGGACGTTTAAACGAATAATATCATGTATCAAAGGCTGGTTCTTGTTTCATGTAGGCAACGTAAATACGTACCCGGGTATAGTCGTTTTTGCACGCATTTCAGTTTACTCGGTGCGTACAGCGCTACAATCGGCGAAGCGTGGGAGTGGGGTAGTTTATAATAATGTATAGGGTGTCAGTCGACCGGTACACATATTATAGTTTATTGTACATAATATATTATTTAGGGGTGTTGCAACCAATGCAAACTACTCCACGTGGAGATCAGTTATATATGTTTTGTTTATGTAAGATATTTAACGAAATAAAATCCTGACATTACGTTAATTCTATACGGTCTTTATCGAAAGCAGATACTATTAAATCACATTGCGTATTGTATTCGTTATATTTTACAAATATTTATATGCAAAAAAAAAAAACGTCCTAGGATACGTTTATAGGGACGGGTGCAGCCACTGTTACAGGTAATTTAATATATATATCAGTTAACAACTATTAACCATTGCTAACGAAAAAACTTCGATTGTGACTGAAGCTCAGTTAATAGTGATGCTTTTTCTGTTGAATACGCCGTATTATGGTAAAACAATTAAATACGCATTATAAATTATCTTTATTATTATTTGTTTAATATACTGATATTGTTCATACATTTTTCTGAGTTTTCCCATGTTTTTTTCTGGTCTTTCGTATTTGCTGGGAAAACTCCTGAGGAAATCGAAAAATGACATTCTTTAAGTACCCCCCCACACCGATTTCCTCTTAGAAAAGGTGCTAAAAGTAAAAATCGGTGCAAGTTCTCTGGTAGAAAAGTTATCCACAGAAGAAAAATTAATAAACATCTTTGTAAAACCATAAGCTTCTTCGCTCCACTCAGAATCTAAAATATCTAAAATTCACGAAATATGCAGATTCATACCATAAATATACAACAAATATGCAAACAAATTGTTTCTTATTACAAATTAATACAGCATACACTTTAGGGTAAAAAAAAAAAAAAAAAATAATAATCTAAAAAAATGATTGTAAAAAAAAAAGAACATGATTTTGAAGTCATTGTGTTTAAGAAGTGTTTATTAGAATTATTTACTGTTATATGACGAGCACCAACATGAGGTATACAAAACTTATAAAAGTTCTTGAATTTAAAAATCCTACGATTATCTTGAAGCATAGATACTTTTGTATAAGGATAAACTTCTTTCAACATGAATTAGAATTGGTGAATATTTAAAACATAATACATTTTCAAACTGAAAGTTCCTACGAATATCTTTGTTATATTCACTTATATATTATACACATTTTTATTTTTTCTTCCTACTTTTGGATATTTCCAACGGTTCCCAGCGAACGAAATGAGCTCAAATTTAAGAATAAGATTGGTTTTGTGTAGGATGATTGAAATAATAAAGTCTGGTTGAATTTCAATATAAATTTAATCATGTTTTGTGAGTAGTTTTTTTTTTTTTTTTGGCAAAGATAATGAAATACAGATATATATATATATATATATATATGGCGTTAGAATTGAGTATGCCTCTTGAGGGTTTTAACTTTCAATCCACACCCCAACTGTTTGACTGCTCAAATTTCATGTACTCATAGCAAATACCGCGGGTTATGAATACGTCTACATCCTCATCAAAGTAAGTAACGGGATTAAATGAAATATTGTAACAAAAATCGTCAACAAATTTGAATAAAAGCTCTGCTGCTCTACTGCGGCACCACCTTTTTATTTCATCAGTATTTCCACAGTATATTTTTTGGTCTATAAATTTAAACATTAACTTAGTACGTTGATATTTTATTATATTTTTGTTGCCCTATAATTATTAATTATTATTTGTATAACTTATTCGAAACTACTAGTTACTTTTTAAAAATATTGTATTTGTTTACAATGCTCGAGGCTTTTTCGAATTTAGTTAACGAATTTTGTATTTGTTATAAGGCTATTGTTTTTGAGGGCTCCGTTGAAAATCGTTTGCCCCGGGGTTTCTAAATTTTCATAATCCGGGCTCGGCAGTTAAATCACGTCTAAAACGTGTAACACGCGTATTATTGTCTCTTTTTTGTCCGATTTTAAGCGCACAGCGGCGCAGCTTTCCGAAAATAAAGTATACCCATACCGTGCGCATTTATAAACCCGTCCTCTTTTCACATCCAGCCGCCACCCGAAAACGATATACGTGTATATCCGTACATACTATACATAGTGTTATATAGGAAATTTGTCGGAGTGTACGGCGGCTTTTCGCCCACCTACCCTCGTCGACCTATCCACCACCACCGCTGCCACCGCTGCCACCACCGCTGCCACCGCTGCCACCGCCGCCACCACCGCTGCCACCACCACCGCCGCCGCCACCGCCACCGCCGTCAAAAGCATCCGTCGCTCACCGAGCCCTTTGGTGGGCTGGTGCGTTCCGGGCGGCTGACGTCATCGGCGACACTGACGCCGCCACCGCCGCGAATACGGTTTGTGGGCGGTGCTTTCGCGAAAAGCCGGCCGAGTCTAACGGTCTCGATTTCCCTCATATACGCGGCACCGTCGCCTTCGTCATAACGTTTTCCGTCTCCGGAGCCCTGCGTTGGCAATACGTACGTACGTACGGACGATTTTCCACGCGCTCAGCAGCGGATTTTTTTTTCTTGTTCACAACGTACGTTCAACTATTTATTAAATAATATTATCATTATAATTTTTATTTTTTTTGGCCGATTCGATTTGTTTTCACTTTTTTAGCCACGCGAGAGCCCCCGATTGTACGATGCCGAACCGCCGGTCTCAGGCAACTTCGCCACGGCCACCGCTGCCGGCAAATTCACCACGACCACTGTCCCAGACAAATATCAACGTTGCCACTGTAGCAGCCGTGGCCGCAATTCTTGCTAGAGGTCGAAACTTTTATGAGCACGAAAATAGTCGGCCACCTGTTACAAATGAAGAACGCGTACCACCCGTCAATGTAACCATGCGTCGTGAAGCTCATATCATCATTTTTATCATTTTGTCTTATCATCGTAAGTATAATATACATATATACATGGTAAAACATCCATATAACAGACCCCTATAAAGCGGAAATCTCCTTAAAACGGAAAACAACAACAGTTCTGCATAATTCATATCCCGTATATTTGAGTCTCCCTATAACGGTAACTACTTTAGAACGGAAAAATCAGCTGTTACCAAGCTTTTCCGTTATAAGGAAGTTTTACTGTAGTTGCATAATATATAGATATTATAATAATAATACGATATAACTGGCATAATACAATTTTCCGGGTGGCCGGCCTTTGTAAACGATAATAATATTAAAATTCCATTCGTCGATTTCGCTTTTCAGACGGACACTTGCGGCTGGCCCCACCGTTGCCTGTGTCACACGATCACTATGCGAATGAACAGATTTTCAGAATTTTCGAGCAGTTTCCCGGAATAAGACGCGGCCGCGTCCATGTTCGCCACGACCGTATTATCTTCGACAGGTAATATGCCAACAGATATTATGATATATTACATATAAAAAACACAAATAAAGTAAAACATGAATAAATAAAAAAACAATGTTTATGTAAATAATTTAATACAAACAATTTTTATAAACCAAATAGATTAATTGTTAGAAAAAAAACGCCGGATTGTTTTCTATTTATTTCTTTTTTACTTTATTAATATTTTTAATATTTAATATTTTAGTGAGTGTTATAATAAAACAAGTTTTAGTTTTCCAATTATTATATATTATAAATTCGAGTTATTTGCATCACGGGATCCGACCATGTGGCCATTAGGCCGTGTATACTTTTGAGCAGAAAAAAAAACAGATTTATTTACAGGATTAGGTACATATAAATTTATATTTTGTTGGACCTACGAATCCTAAAAAAAATCTTTTCTCTCACTTATCCATATAAAAATCCTATTTACGAGGGTGGTTGCGAAAGTGAGTTAAACAAACATAAATATAACCCTTGAAATCCGTTACTACACCTGGTCGTCGGTACCTAGAAGATATATTACTTTTCCTCTCGACAGAACGAAAGTACGAATTGTGGTTAAAATGAAATGATACCATGCTATTAAATAACAAAAACCAAATCATAAATTGTTCATTAAATATTAGGAGAACTGGGCGTAATCTTCTTTCCAACTCCTTCCCCTAAACAAATCACCAAGTTTTATATGGTTAACTCATCTGCCTCATAAATTGATCTGATTACAATTATTTTTCTTTTTTTAAATTTATTGGAAAAAAAGAAGAATTCTTACAAATTCATTGGATTTTAATTTTAAAAATTTTATTTATTTTTAAAATGATATAGTTAGAATTTCAACATGAACAATATTAACATTCTGTTAATTTTTTATTATTTTACTTTGGTTGTATAATGAAAACCCAGAGATCAATGTGCTTGGTAAAAAGTTTTCTTTCTTCCAATAATAATAAATATACATAATTTATTTTTAATATATACAAGGTGATCAACTTATCATGAATCAGTAATTTTCTCGAAAGATTTTATCTTAATTTTATTTGTATTTAAAAAATAATTTTGGAATCTTTTTAAGCTTTATTTTAACAATATTTCCAAATTGTTATCCTACCCTTTATACCTTAAATGATTGTAAACTCTGTATTTCAAAAAAAAAAAATATCCTTTTTGAACACAGATTCAAACATAGAATATTGTTGCATACATTTTGATAGATATAGCACTAATATCAGATTCACTGCTTATGATTTATAATAGTTCAAAGTTTAGACCGGAGATGTAGGTAAAGTTTATGAATTTATTATCTAAAAATTAAATTTATTACGCTTCCCTATATCTCTAGTATACATTTTTAAATGTTAAACCATTAAAATTTTTAAAAAGTAAATTCGATATTAGTATTATGCCTGTTAACATTTGTAGAAAAATATTCTCTATTTAAATTTGAAAGGAATTGCTCTTTGAAAATTAAAAGTGTATAGTAAATACTAATTCCATGTCTTAAGAGTAGAGATGATGAATTAAACATTTTGTTAATTTATAGAGTTATATAAATATAGATATATAAGTTATAGAGTTAAAACTCTATAAATCATGTTTTGGACAAAATAACAGTTCATAATAAGGCCACATAATACACAAATTAAAACTGTTTTGATTTTACGTATGTTGCACTGCCTCCTGTCCTATTTGGCTTTTGGGTTTTTCAATACCAACACACATTTTTTTTATAATTTGTTTGTATTTGTTTGATAGTTTTTAGAATTTGTTTGACCTTCCTACAATCACTATAACTAAAATGCTGGTGGAGGGCTGTAGAAACATTTCTATAGCTCACTGCCCTGTTTTAAAATGATCAGTAAAAGATACCACCATGTTTATTGCGAATTTATAGGTATTATATACGGTCAAATTTAAATTGTCTTGTAATTATTTTCTAATTTACTATTAAGTTCAAGTAAAGTTTTATTTTTTAAATTAAAACAAAAGCTTTAATTGAATAAGTAACGGCAAATTAATTCTTAAAACTGTCAAACAAATACAAACAAATTAAGATCTATAATATGGTACTGAAAAAACACGAAATGTGTAGTTTTTTTTTAAAATCCGGGGTTGAAGAAACATTTCTATAACTTCTACTTGGTATTTTGGTTATAGTGGTCGTAATAAGGCCAAACAAATTTTGAAAACTATTAAACAAATACAAACATATTAAAAACGAATTCGTGGTGACATTGAAAAATCCAAATTCAAAAAGAGGGGATCAGTATAACATGATTTTTGGTTTTTCGTTAGGAATTGTTGTTAAATATAAACAATTTGTTAAAAAAAAAAAAAAACGAATAGAGACTCTAAGGGAATTAATTGTTACCGTTTAACAAACACACGGTATAACCGATTTGTGTTCTGTAGGACCAATTTTATGTTGTTAGTTTTAATGTTCGAATGAGTCGACCTATTATCAAACTAATAGGTAAGAACATTATTGTATTTATATGTGTTCATCGTTTTTTTTTACAATGTTTAAATACTAATAAATCGAAATTTGATAATACTCATATCTTGCTGAAAAATGAACATATTGAAAAAAAAAATCTGGTATAAACACAGAAAATGTTCTTAACTTTTAGCTTGATATATGGTCTATTTACTTTAATTTAATAATAAAACTAACAGCACAAATTGGATCCAGCTGGATGCGAATTCGCTGTGATATACAACGTTTTAAAATGGAAATGGCACATACATGTATGAAGATGCCCTTAACATTTTTTATTAAATCAAAACAAAAAAATTGTCGCAGGGTCAAACAAATATTATATTGAAAGTTAAAATATAACGGTTTAAAAAATACAAAATATAAATTTTGTTGTTTGAATACCACTGTCGCCACTCGAGATCAACCCCTAACCGCTGTATAACTATAATCCACTTGATGCCGAGCACCGTATACCTTTGTAGTCCATTCCTTACAGTTTTTATTTTTAAACTGCGTATTATTATTACAATTTTTTATTTTTTATATATATTTATGAATGTAGAGAACAACTACCATTTGCAAACGCGCCAGCCTTGCCAGCATCAAGAGATTACTTTTTGCGAGCTCGTCGTCAGGCAATTCGTCGTAAACGCTTGGTTCGTCGTCAAGAAAGAGAACCATTTTTCGACGACAATATTTGTCGGTAAGCATTTTTTGAGAGCGTTATTTACATACACACCTAGTTAAGTCGTATAGCTGGAAAGCAACGTAGGTTTTTAATTTTACAATCATCTCTCACCGTTCTACCTACATATATAATAATGAGGTCGATTTTCCATTAAAAAAACAATTGACAAACAATTCGCATTTGTGGAAGACTTAGGATGGGGATGGGTTATTCCAAACCTTCACTCTCCTCCCCGGCTACACCACAGAGTTAGTTTAATATATTATTATTGTATACCAATACGAAGTTTAGAGGTCTGATTTTACAATATATGTCCCGATAAATCCGGTCTCAAACTTTTGCTACTCATTCCCGGTCATTTAGTAAACGGAGATTTTCGTACGTTTTATTTCGTTACCGTCGCCATCACAAACCTACAAGAGCGCTAGTGTATTATTTTATATGGCACACAATAAACATCTTATATATAATATAATAACGATTCGTTATAAATTCGCCGCTATAAAGTCTCCGTTATGTGCATATTATATACTTACGTTACACTGTAATATAAAATATATAGTAAGTGCCGCTAGCTTAACCGACAGTGAAATCAAATTTTTAATAAGCGCCGTCGTAAATACAGCCCTAAGTGTATTATAAAACTTGATTATCGATAAGTTTAGGATGTATGATATACGGTATACTGTATAGCAACCGCGTAAGGAGAGTGTATATATATATATATATATATATATATATATATATATATATAAGATTTTCAATTTCCAGACGGTTACTAGTTTAAAGGACCTCAAAATAAATTCGCTTCGAATGGTTTTTGTCAAATTTTCAGAAAAAATAGAAAATATTCAACACTGCATTGTGTCATATATACACAGGGTGATTCACTAAGTGTGCTCATACCATTTTGTTGTTAAATTTTGCATGTATTTAAATTCTGATTTTGGAATTTTTAAGTTCAGTTAAGCCGATATTTTTGAATACCTAGATTTGTTACTATATATTTAATGAGTATATATAGGTGATTCCAACTTTAGTTTTTCAACCATTATTCAAATTATTCTATAAATAGGTAAAGTATTACTTTAAATAATTGTTGGTGTTAACATTTTTGATTTACGTCAATCCGTTGACGAGATATTTCACTTTTAAGTTTAGTTAGGGGGAGATTTTCATAATCAAATTTCATCTTTTTTTTTTTTTTTTTTTAAATAGTGTTATAATACTATTGTATTGTAGGTAGTATATTATTGTTATAATTGAACACAGTTATTCATTGTTTCCCAAGAATATTTCTATTTTACAACACAATACAGGTGCCAGAATATTACACTCTAGTGACGGAAATCTAATGCTCATGGGTGTTTAGTTTGATTCTATTAGTTATTTTTTAAAAATTGTATCATTTTTTTTTTTTCATAACTAGTCATATTAACGGTTATCGAATGAAAAAGTAATTTATAACCAGGCGCGTTTCCCAGAAGAGAGCGATCGTCCACTACCCCATTAGTCGTATAATGTTTTTTTTTGGTTATATAAAATATTTATAATTTTTAAGTACAAATCAGTAAAAATGCAACTAGTTCCAAATGCTATAAAGACGATTCCGGATCTTGAAAATACTTTGATTGAATCAAGAATGAAACGCTTCTCATTTATAAATTTCAATAAATATTCTCTCAAGGATGAGATAGAATTATGGAAAACTAAGAGATAACAATCAATTTTTAAAGATATAATAAAATAATATATTTTTAGAATCAAAATTGGAAGTGATTAATTTAATATAAATTTTAGATTCTGAGTGTAGCGAAAAATTTACCTATTGCATTTAAGTTTATTTTTTTTTTTAAGCTGTGCCAAAAATTTCTACTAGAAATCTTGCTTTAATATGTAAGTGTAGCACATTTTTTGAAAGAAAATATTGTCATATTGACTAAAATGACTAGATGGTATTTTAGGAAGGTTATTTTTTGATTATCAGGAAATCCAGGGTAGAACGTAAGAACAAGAAGATCAATACAAATATAATGCTTTTATTATTTTGAATTTGGTTTTTGTTGTAATTCAGTTAAAAATATTCAATGAAACTTGAAATTTTGAAGGAAAATTTATATTTGTCTTTTCTTTATGTGGTCAAATTTTTGAACAATTTTTAGACATTTTAATTTTGAGTTTTGTACGTAATTTTTATTCGGTAGGTACTCTATGGATAAATTGTCAGACCTAACAAAAATTGAGAATTTAACATGAGATTCATTAAAAGTCGTATTTTATGATTAAAAAACAAAAATTTGAGCAGAGGCTAGCTGACTTGTCACTTTTAAATATTCATCGAAATGAAAACATTAGTATAGAAAATATTGTTGATCAAAACACTGCTTAAAATAGAGGTATTTTGGATTTGGTTACCTGACTTTTATTATTATGTTTGTTATTCATTTTATCATTATTTTAATTGCTATTTATTTAATGTAAAACAATTAATTTAACTTTATATCGTACTATTTTACTGCATTTTTACAATATATCTGCAGTCTTCTAACCTAATTTAAGTTAAAATAACATCACACATAAAGGTTAAAAGTTTTTGTTAACCAAAGCGGTCAAAACTTTTCGCCACCTCCTCCACACTAGAATTGACTTTAAGACGCCCCTGAGCAATAGTATTAACCAAGCTCTACTCAGAATCGTTTTTTGTTGGAAATGCTTAAATTTGCTTAGGTACAGACATGCATTAATTTCCCTCAATATCCTACCTTCCAAATTTTTCATCTTTAACAGTGGCCCACTCATTTGCGAAGTCTTTTTCTTATCAATCATTAATATTAAATTTAATTATTTTGTCCATCCTGCCAACCCCCCTCCCCCCATTGTTAAGGTCTTGAGATGTGAATATTTATAATTTAACTTTTATTGTTTAAACTAGTAACTACCCAACTTCGGTTTCGAGTATAATTTCATTTCCTACTTAGCACGACAATGTAGTGTACGGGAAAGCAATAATCAGAGTACCGTCTAATAATATTATTATTATTATTGTGCACAACGTTTATATCTACCACGTTGTTGTTTTTGGCTTTCTAACTGATAATAACTGATAGAACCGCAACGGAGACGGCGACCGTATACTGCGGCAGTTCTTTAATTATTTAACTAAAATGCGCAAAAAATGCGTATAGTGCACTCAAGTTAAACATTCAACCGATTATTACTGCATTGTGTCGGTGTACGTTTCACCGTATCTAGGAAAATCTAGTAATTCTTTATAATACATCTCTATATTCGATATAATTATTTAGTTTCCTGTATATTCGATTTAAATATGAGGTTCACAAAACATTTTATAGATTCGTTCACATGATATTATTTTTAAGGTTGTAATTTTCGAAATGTTACCATTGTTTTTTATAATATAATATGCATGTATAGATTCTTCTTATTCTTCGTTTGTTTGGTTTTAAACGTTTAAACGCTATGTTCGTTTAAGTGAACATATGATTTGTGACATTTTCCCTGTTTTCTTATTATTTTCTTATAATATGACCAAAATACTCAAGTATATCATGCTGTATTGAAGGGAGGAGTCGTCTAGCTATTTTATTAGATATTCGATTCCTCTAATACTGATGCATTGGTTTTATAAGTTTTCCATGATGGAATCGCATTTTCTATATCATATAATTTCAAACTATTTTATACAAAATATTAATGCCCACATAATAATCTACTGTCAATTTTCAAATATGATGACCGGGGTTCCGTTTAAATCTGATTCGAATATTATCGATGACTTCTCTGGACATAATATTGTTATTTTGATACGTATAGCATTAATATCCTCATACATATGGTTATTTCAAGTTACATAAATAACAGTTTGAAATTCACACCCAGATGAGTTAACCACGAATCTCAAAATTAATGCTATTTGTCATTTGTTATTTTATAAGTTGACATATGTTTATTATTAGGGTACAAATGTTGAATATATTGTTAATAACACAATCGTCAAACAGTTGGAAAACTAAAATCGAATTCACTCGAAATTACTGTTTAAAAAATCATGAGGTTGTCACGAAAAAAAAATATCATCCTAGCTGTATAAAAAGGAAACTTTTTTTTTTTTCGAACTTGGAATAATCAAAACCGCGTCATCGGTTATAGTTATGTTACGTTACATTTGAGTAGGTTGTATATTTTGAATTAAATTACTAAATTTTGGCGGTGTATAAGAATAGACGAATGCCGAATTTAAAATTATAAATACATAAGTAAAAACCTAAATCATAGTGTTATTGGTATTAATTTTTTTAAATTTGTTTTGTTTAATATTACAAATTATTGTATTATTTTTAAAAATCATTAAAGACAGCTGTTAACTCGAGTTTGATAAATGTAAGGGGCGCTGATTTTTTTTTTTTTTTATATTACAGTCCTTATTTATATTGCCAATTCGTACGCAGCGGGATACACTGTCGCTAACGAATATTTTCGCAGTAATGCTATGACGAAAATCAATGTTAAAATCTCGGAATTTCGAGACCTTTAAACACTATACAATGCCAAAACCAACATACATTATAAATGCAACTGGACTAAAACTTTCAAAGCTGACGTTTCGAAAACATACCATTTTCACTTTCCGAAAACCTTTTCCATTTCTGTTTTAGACGATTGAAACGTTTCCACTGTATAATAGGTCACCGTTGTAGTATACTTGTTTATATACCGTTACGTTCAAACAATATCATTTCGAACCGAAAGTATTTTCATTATTATTATTATTATTATCATCATTATTATTCGACTCGACACGGTAAACAAATGTCTTTTTTTTAAATAAAACTATGTCCACATACGGTATGATATTTGTTCATGTTTAAATGTTAAAAATTAAAAATTGAAATCGTAAATCGTTTGTTTTACAAATGTAATAATACCGTAGAATTTTTGTGTGTTTGTCTAACCGGGACCCAAGAATTTCTGGCCCCTTGTATTCTGCTCGTGTACGCACTGAGCGAGTTCTCCATTCTGTCGGGGCGATGACCGTGGGATAATTGATTAACAATTTATGCACCGTTAGGTAGGTATAGTCAAAAATAAGAAATTTATCTTCTACCGTGTGATCACGGTCGGTTAATTGTCTGCCGATTTCGTCCAAAGTTAAACTATAAATTATTTTGTCATCGCACACCCCAGTGATTATCTGTATATATGAACATTTCTAGTAAAATATTTGATTCTGGTTTAATCTAAACACTAATTGTGTTTAAGATATTTTCGAAATGTCACCCCTTTTCCATGCCTGTCTCCCGTATAAACGCACATACCAACTGTATTGATTTTCATTTGTGCCAACCCTAAAACCGCTGCAGGTCTTTTATAATTTGTAGGCTTAGCGAATTTTGTTTTGTTAGTTTTCTTCATGATTTCCATTTGATTGGAGGGGAGAAAAAAAAGTAATTCAAAATACAAAAGTATTATATACAAGAGTAATAATGTACCGTTTTTAATATTTCCGTTTAGAATAACGCAAATGCAATTATGTTCAATTCGCTTGTATGAAAAAATAAATAATAATTCACTTTGACACGTTGAGATAAGGTTAAAAGTTTTTTTTTCAGTGTTTTTTAATTATATTTTATTATAATATCGTTTTGCAGTCGCTTCTATTAAATCATAAGATTTTATTTGATCTTCAACATCGCGGTTTTTTATTTGCCCACAGCTGCAGTCTATACTTTCTCGTGTAATGTAATTATTATAACGTGCGTCCGACCAGACTTCGATTTTACTTTCTTTCTTTCTTTGCGGACGTTGGATTTTTCAGTATTCTTCCGGAATTCTGCAGATTTGAGACAAAACATATTTCACTTATCGTGCACAATATGTAATACATTGAAATATATATGCTTAATAGCAATACGATATGATTCTTTTTATACTTACTCTCGACACTCGAGTCGTGACATAAAAATCAATACGAGCTCAAGTACTTTTAGGACAACTCTTACACAAAATCTCAAAATACATCATCAAAAGGGATTCAGTGGGTTTGATTTCATTGTGGACTATACAATTTGTTGTATATGTATAGAAAGATCCATTTATCACGAACCAGCGATATTGTTTCTAAGGATTTGAAGAGGATTTCATTTTTGTTTTTTGTTTTTTTCAATCATCTTTGTTTTAATACTATTTTCAATTTTTTATTCCTAATCCTTAAAAATAGATACCTTAAAAAAGATCACACTTGAAACAGTTTGAAGCTAAGATCAGTGAATTAGAGAAAGAGTTTATCAATTCATCTTAAATAATATCTTTAGTCTATATCTGTTATATCTATTACTTATTTATTTTAATTTGCCTATTAGTTATTATTACTTTATTTTATATTTGTGTTGCATTCAATAAAATTTATACGGCAATAATGATCAATTTATCATTGGAAAATGTAATTAAGGCCTATTACCAATCCCTACTTCTCCATATACATTTTAAACTGGTATTACTCATAAACGGTATAAGTTAACCGATATAAGTTTAATGTCTATCAACACGTTTAGAATAATATTCTCTACTAGAATCTGTATCGAAAATGGGGATAATTGGAAATTCAAAAGTGTGTGGGTACACCATTTTAAGCCTGTGGTGTGAAAATATTAAAAATACTAGTATTTAAATAAATCTTAAACGGTTTCAAAATGATTGGGGAAAAAAAAATAAACAGAAATTAAATACACTTAAAATCCTCTGAGAAAATTGCTGGTTCGTGGTAAATGGATTACCTTGTATAAATATATACGTTTTTTTTTCTAATTGGAGTTTTTAGAACATGCATTTCTGTTACTCTTAGATAACTTGAGTACTGCAAATAATAATAATAATAATATACAACATATGTAATATCAATAAAATATTGCAAAAGAAACTTTCCGCATCGTGTATATAGACTTGTAAGTGTATATCATATTATACACCATATGAAGGCTGGATTAGAGTCTCGTTGAAAGTTCACTTCTGTATAATTCGCAGCGAAAAGGTCGTATCTGCTTTTTCCAATTTCTAATCTCTGATCTTTTAATCTATTATAATCTTACCGCCAGCCGCGTCGAAAAAGTCGAGGTTATAATTTCACTTTTTCCAAGTTCGAATCCATAATCTCTTTGGACAAGCAATGCTACGGTCTCTTTCTTAGTGGAAGGCAATAATTATTGTAAAATTAATAACGAAACGAATTTTGCGTATGGATATTATATGTAATCTGTCTAAACATAAATGTATTCCTTTACATCACAAAAATACAGTCTATAATAATTAATACAAGTATGATGGTTTCTATACAGTAGGTATAGGTTTTATATCCGCTTCTCTCTACTAACAGTTTGTAATTTTTTAGAAGTATAATTACCCGAATAACCAATTTTGCGGTACAATTAATTTCATTAATTTAATAATCAATTTTAATTCCGACCGGATTTCAGAACGTCGTCGCTTCATCATCATTATCGTTCTCTTCACAGGCATGCGTTGAATATTATAATATTCCATATTCCATTTCGTGCAAAATTTCAATAGCATTATTATCATTTTTATTTTTTCTCGCCATCGTTAAATACATTCAACAATGACCGTAATACCGTATTAATATAATTTAAAATGCTACTCGAAAAAATATATATATATGTTCGGCGAACTATCCGAGATAAACTACAGCAGCAGCGATGCCTGATGCTTGCTACGGGAATCAGACCACATTGATTACATTATATTCGGATGACGGAGTCGGTGTTTATCCGCAAAATTAAAGTACCTGTCAACTCGACGCGATTTTAAACTTATTTATTCGTATACCATTCATTAATTCGTTCATTATTAAAATACAAATGAACCGATCACCCGTTTTTAGATCCTGTTGAGAAAAATTTAATGCATCTTTATTGTAATATAACAAAGTTTTTTTTCCAGGCAGTAATTTCCATCAAATAATAACAATAAATTATAGTAAAGTTTGCGTTTCAATAGATATTAAACATTACTTTTCTTTTTTAGAACGCAGTTTTTTCTGCTCTGCAGTTTCACCTTTTGTAAATTGTTTTCCTTTGTACAAATTTACGAACAAAAGACAATAATTTTCTTCCAGTCTTCAAATGCTGAAAAACATGTAATATATATTAAGTACCTAGGTATACATTTACTATTTCTTTTATTACACCGAATTCTATAAGAATTCTGTTTTCTGCAATACCGTATAGTGGATTTAAAAATCAACTGTTCCAATCGCATCTAGCGACTATTGGTATGGGACATAGGTTTTTCGTTTATTGACTTTTTCCACTGCCGCTGACCTCGATCGATTTTAAACCCTCCAATGCTTAACATTTTGAGTGTTTCTGTTTTCTCCGTTTTATTTAGCGAATTCTGTGTTGATATTTAATTTTTTTTATCAGAGTATCGAAACGTTCTACTCGGTTTAGGGAAATATGACGAATAAATTTATCTAAGATAGTTGCCGTGAAATAATGACTCAGTGGAAGACAAATAATATTACGAGTTTTTTTTTCTTTTTAAAAAATTGTTTGAGAGTATGGTGTGTGTAGAATATTATAGTATGGTTGATTTTTTAACAAAACCCTAGAGAACATTACACGGCATAGTGTATACTTCACACCCTTTTTTTACCGACTCTACTAGGGTTGTATACAATCCACTTAAATATATTATTTCAAGTTTAAAAATAATAATAGTAGTCTCAAGAAAAAAAAACTGTTAATTAAAATAACGTATTATTATAATATTAATATTTGTTTAAAACAAATAACGCACATCGTAATAATATATTATAGTAAAACACTCTTTCGCTCAGAATACTGAAATAATACATAAATATCGTAATTTCCTCAGTATAAAGTCTAGTACAGATAAATAACCCCGTGAAGAGAAATCTCAACCCGTGGCTTTATAACGACGAATTAACAACAATAGCGACGAATTCCGTATTGAATCGAAACGTTTTCTTTTGTTCATACATTCTTATCGTATTTAGAGATGCCTAATTAAATCGGCCGTTTAAATCATATTAAATGCATTTCGGTTTCACGTTACCTACGTTATTATTATTTTCGGTTTTTCGTTGAGAGTTCATTTCCAACGGTGGCGGAGTATTATTCACATTTTAATATATAAACCATTTCAATCGTTTTTCGACAACGATTTTAATATATAAGATATGATTTTTTCTCATTTTTTTCGTATAAAAACACTGTGATACCGTGGGGTTAACAAATTGTTTACTCTCTACTGTCAATGAAAAATAAAAACGGTAATTGATAAATAGCCATCGAGTATAAAAATATAGTAAATAAATAACATATTTTATTGTATAAACCGTAGAGGAAATAAAATCCAAATAAAATATTCGTATACGTATATTGGTATAACTATACTATATATTATGTTCCTCTCTCCCTGCCAACTCTCGATTTAATGTAACACGTTTTGATTTTTTAAAGAGTCGATACATTAGTATTATGAATAACTAGATCTTTTACCGATTTTTACGATTATATATTTTTTTCTGATATCGCGGTGTTAGTTTTAATATACAAGTGTAAATTATCAAACCTAAATATAAGAACTTTATCTACATTTGCATATTGGTTTTTTCAATTTTTAATTTTTCAGTCAGATTATATGATTTTAAATCGTAATATTTCACATTGGTAACTGCAAATGGCTTGGAAATTAAAATATCGAGAGAAAAAAACTATCGTACCTACAATAATAAAAAATGTTTTTACCTTTGAGTTTGATAATACACACTAATATTAAATCTAACAGCACAAAATCGGTTTTTGCATACAATAAGTATAAATATAACGATATTAACTGTAACAATGTAAAACACATAGTTACACAATTAATAGTTATTTACGTCTGATAGATTTAGACATAATCCTTTATTAAACCTCTATTAAATTTGACCTGAAATTTAATACATTAACATTTTTTTTTACAAATTTTCCCGAAAATCAGAACTATTGTATTTGATATGATATGGATATATATATTATATATTACGGGCAAATTATAAAATTAGGGCTTCTTGTACAATATCCTGGAATTACGTATAATTCCCATCGTACCTATAGATTTTGTAGACTATGTTAGATTAAAACATATTTATTACAATATTTTATTATTAATAATAATAATTTAAATCTATAACTAGATATTGTTACATAATTCTTATAATTTTCAGTTTTTATAGGCACATCATATTTTTTTTTTTCCTGAACACTGTTTATAATTTTTAATTTTACAGATACAATTCAGCATAATGAATATCTCATAATCATATAGATATATGACTATGTATCTAGATAGATACATTTTTGGTTCTGACCAAAGCGAGGAATATATTGGTTTTACTAAAACGTGTATGTTTTTGTTTGTATGTATGTGCGTGTGTGGGTGTGCCAGAAAAACATATTTTCTAGGTATATTTTTTTCCAATCAAAGATTTGATAAGAATTTTCTATTTAACACCATTTTTGATCTACCTGGTGCATTCTTGGGAGTTATTCTTTTATTATCTTTTTAGTTATCTCAATAGACGGAAAAACCTGGTAATTTTCTGTAAAATTATTGATGATAATCAGGAAAATCTACGTTTTATGATACTATGCACAAAATCATGTTAGGTTATAAATAGTTTATCGTTGCATACTGACTAAAAGTGAATCCCTCCTCAAAAATCATTAACACACCAATCAGCAGTATCGGTCGTTTTGTATTTTATATTTATCTTCCATTATACTCGACCACTGCATCCACAATCCGCTTGTCATAAATAATATGATAATAACATCAATTAATTAAAGTAAATTGTATTTTTAAAAAGTTATGTAATATCTAATTGAACGAATTAATGAGTATAGGTATCTACATAAATCACTGCATTATCGCATCGAATAAATAAATAATTTACAATTTAGTATCCTCTGCATCATAATAATATGCACGATTTGCATTTTATATAAAGCCTAGGCATTGTAAAAAAAATTTCCAAATTTTATTCTTTGTACGTAACATATTTTATATATTTCTCACCACATTCGAACACTTTTAACGGCCCTCTCCTAGCAAACGAAGTCAAACTTGGTATTTAGAGTTTTTTTTTTACACCTATAATGTGAATAAATTAAAGAAGTTAAAGTTGTGTTCAACATCAATATAAATTTCAGAATGCTGCTGTGGGAGTGGGCGTGTTTTTATAATTTTGAGCATTCTTAGGTCTTCGAGAATCATCGAAACGAATCTATAATAGAAGAAATATATTTTGTACTTATATATATTGCGTTAGTGTCAAGGATGTTCTATAAGTTGTATTAACCTTCACGGCTTTTTATAATAATATTTCAACATTTTTATTTATATATACATTTTTTTTTTTTTTGTCTTTTGTACCTAGTATATATATATATATATATATAAGCAAACTATAATGATGTATAATATTATTTTATTATATTATTCAGTAATTTATTTTTTACAAAGAATATTTCTACAAAACAAAATAGGTTGAAAGAATTCGAAACTAGTGTTGGAGTTCTGGGTTCACTGGGTTTTTATTATTATCATTATGATTATTTTTTTTTTTACCTATCCGAAAGTAATTTAATTCAGAGTTGAGAGATCGAAAAAAATATAAAATCATAACATTATTATTATAAGGTCAATAATAATATATAATATATATACCAATAATATGATTCCTTCTTTCTTTTTTTTACTTTTTAGTTTTTATTACACCATTTCCGTAGTGGACTTCAACCAAAGATATTTTATAGGTATCTTTAATGTTGAACCGTTGAATTTATTCTTTTTACAGTGTTCAAAAGAAAACGTATGCTCTCGCAATAAATATTAATATCTTATTGAATTTCAAAACGTGTGATATTTTCTTTAGTGTCAC